GGGCTCGACGACGCGCTTGCGTTTCTTGGGCGGCGACGACTCCTCGACTGGAGCGTTGGTGGTCAAGGGCGCAGGCGCCGGCTAGCCCTTACGTTAGTGAAAAGAATGGAAGGCCAAAGCGAACAGACGCAGCAATCATTGATCGCCGTGACTATTCGCTCCAGCGGGCTTAAGACGGAGCTCACCTGTTGGATCTGGCGGACGTCGACGGCCATCTGCCGCAACATCTGGTTATAGGCCTCGGGGCTAGGCAGGTGGTGAGTTGAGTCGACAAGCCATGGGAGAGACCTTGACGGACGGCATGAACTGCCGCCAGTCGATGGCAGGCAGGTTTGCTCCCGGGACAGCTGATTCGGTGACGGCTGATGGACGGTTAGCGTGGTTGAAAAGTCGCGGTAATCGCCTTGGGCGTCACTCACGGTTGGTGTCTTGGGGGCGGGGGCTCTGGTCGGGCGCGGACATGGTGGTCGAAAAGCAAGAGTGTCTCGTACTAGGGAGACTCTCGACCCTGAAAATTGAGGGCATTTATATGGTGAACATGCCGGAAGAAGTTTGATCGCGGCAGATCACGGAAGGAACCGAACAACCAAATGAATAAGACGTGGGAACATAACTCTATGTCTCCGCGGCTTTAATAATAAATGAACGAGACGTCGACTGTTGGACTTAGACCTGACGCAGTGAGACTGTCGCGGGATTGACCAGGAGGTCAAAATTAGTGTTCCTGGGAGATGATAGGCTGGCTACCAGACGCGCTCTGCACCAGCTCTGTAAGGGCGTATTTTTGCGCTTTTTACAGAGTTTACTCTTGAACCATTCGGTGTATCGTGTCGCGGTTGACAGTGTTGCGCTCAGTAGGACTTAAGGGTCTACTGCCCAGTCGACGACTGTGGATAGTGTCGACGATAGCAAGGCAGTCAGACCACTACTGTGGAACTGGTCTTATGGGTCTACACCAGGCTCAGGGCCATTAGTGACGAACGCTTGGACCGCGACCATTCCCCAAAAGGGGATCTGCCGTTGCGTCGACTTCTCGAAAAGGGTCATTCTCTGCAGATGGGAACTTGGGCTGAAGGGCTGAGCAATGCGCGACGTTCTCAATAATAGAACTACTACTGGACAGGACTTGGCGTTACGAGACTTAAACCATCTTGTCGCGGCAACTCCCGGTTTTGAGTTGGACGTTTCCTCAGATCATGCCACGACGACGACTTGTCACATGTCAGGATCCATTCGATCACGGGACATTGTGGACGCGTCGCGGTGACACTTCCAAGTGTCACGGCGAGTCGCGTCCATACCCAAACACACTAGAAACCGACACGGCTAGATCTGTGAACCGAACCATGTGGGGGACGACTGGTGTGCCTAGGGCCATACGGCTTCTTGGGGCGCCCACGTTGGTCTCACTTGCCAAGACATACCCGTTGGCCAATCCAACACGTCGTATTCCAAAAGTATGACGCGGTGGGTTGACCCACATCAAAAGTATCATATGGACAATGGGGCGGGGTCCTGATCACTCAGGACCTGTCCGATCGTTCAACTTTTCAATTACCCTAAAAGGCAACCGATCTTAGATAGCGTAGCTACTATGCAGTTGTACAGGACTTTACTAAGCAGCGTCGTAGACAGTATAAGTAGCACGTCGTCTCTTTGTATTAAGGAGCTTTCCCCCGGACTGTGAATCACTCTCATATCAGATTGTTTTGTACAATTTGCGTGCCGCGTGATTCCACCCTAAGAAGTTCTGCCACCCCTGCCCGGTCGCGACGAGTTGCTCCCTGAGCACTTGTAGCTACTGTGATTTGAGTTTGAGTTGAGACATCAGAAAGTCGGATTCGCCGCATCTGGTTTAGTCGCGGCATTTAGTGTCGTCGCCTTCGGGCTTTGTTGAGATCGTTCCACACCTCTAGCTTGGCAGTGCGTCGACTAGTTGTGCTCGGGTTGTTTTGGTCAGTTGGCAGTGCGTCGACTTGAGAACTTTGGTTCCACACTTCTTGCTTGGCAGTGCGTCGACAAGTTGTGCTCGGGTTTTGGACATTGGATATTGGCTGTTAGTTGGCAGTGCGTCGACGCGGCATTTCGGTTTACTAGTTGGCAGTGCGTCGACTCAGTACTTTTGGTTGTGTCAGTTGGCAGTGCGTCGACTCGACATTTTGGTTTACTAGTTGGCAGTGCGTCGACTCAGTATATTGGTTGTATCGGTTGGCAGTGCGTCGACTTGATATTTGGGCTTTGCGTCACCATCTAGACGCTGTCGCTACAAGGGATCTTAATACTTCGTATTAAGCTCTGACTTGTTATATTGTTGTTGTGGATTGGATTAGTGTTGGTTGTGATCGTATAGAAGATATTGGTTGAGACACCATTGTTTGCTATATATATATATCCTTGTCGTCGACTCCGTCTCCGCGACTATTGGATCTGCGTCCATTGAGAGTTGTGATACTGGTGCTCTGTCCACCCCGAAGCCCTCGCATCTTTCACACACTGAGAAGCTGATTACGAGGAGTGTGAACGTGTTTATATTTGGGTTTACTTTCATAGTAGATTCACTTGTGAGCACGCCCTCAGCATTTCAGCGGCAGACCCCGCCAGATGATGGGATCAAGCGCATCAACAATCCTATTGTGCAGGGTGCATTTGGGGTTTTCTAAGCTCAAATGCATGGTCAATTAGTGTATTTACCTATGGAAATTATACTGGGATGATTTAGAGAGGCTTCCATTTTTTTTTGGGCGGAAAATCACGTGATTTTGCGCCCACTGTCTGCCACAACATGCAATCTATCAAGCAGCACCTCCAAAATCATGCCAAATGGTGCAAAAAGGGGCCCCCAAAAAGTCACGTGATAATGCGCCCACTGCCCGCTGCAGTGTGCGGGAGGGGCGGTAGCGCCCCCGCCAACGCCCCTGCCAACCCCCGCCATTTTGAAATTTTTCCTGCAGCTCATCACGTGATTTTCCCGCCATCCCGCCCATTTGGTGCATCATGTGATTGATTTTTTTTTTTCCCGCCCAGCTGCCCGCTCTTATGGACAAGTCACATGGTATGTATGGGCACCCCCGTCCTGACCCCCGTCCTGACCCCCGCCCATCCCCCTGCCCCAAAATGGCCAGCTGCCCCCTGTACCCCCGCGGGGGGGGACCTCCTGGGTACCCATAGAGCTACGTCTAAGGGTACCCAGGAGGTCCCCCGCGGGGTCTATATGGGGGGTTGGCGGTGGTAACTGAGGTGTTCATAGTAGAATAAAGCTGTCTTACCTTGCTGAGGCCCAGGTCTGCCTCTTCCACTTGATTCTTTCCTCAGAGACTACTCTGATTCGAGTCGATCATCCTGGTGCCGCCAACATCCACCGAACCGGGATTAGGCGAAGTACTCATGCTCTGAGGATGATTTTTCGGGAAGGTATCGGTTCCCTCCCACATTTCTTTCAGGTCTTTAATCGATTCCGCCGGACGTGATGTACGGTGCTATCATTGATATCTTCGGACCACTGTCGGACGCATCGTCTCCGCCGTGGTCCGGGAATGTTACCGTTGACTCGCCATCGCTGATTGTGAGATCGTGTCTCAAATCCAAGAGTCCGGCGAAGTCTTTTGAGCAGCTAAAGCCGTGCGCTTAACACTTGAACATGTGCAATTCTGAAACCCAGCTATCCCCTTTTTCGCTGGTAATAAGTCGAGCATATCCCTCCTTCTAAACTTGTATGATGTATTTCTCCTGGATGTGTCTTGAAATATACACTACAGTGATTGAGGAGATACTGAGAAATGTTGAGTTGGGTTGAGCAGCGACCAAACTGCGAGCAATCGAGTTCCTCCCACTCGAGTCGCGATTCGGTTGCCACGTATCCTTATATCGCCCATCTGATTGGTGCGGTCGTCCAGGAACCCTGCAAGGTCGCCCAGCAACCACTTTGCCGATGGACTCGGTTGACGCACCGGAGCCGCAAATATATCTCATGATACCGCGAAAATCCATACCTATGCCTACGCCTATACATCGGCTGCGACACAGCCGACACAGCCGACCCCGCTATCCCCCTCAAAGATGCGCGAGGTGACCCTGGAGCGACGACCGATGTGGCGCCGAACAGATACTCGGAATGGAAGCCCCACGACACCCAGCTGCCACCACCATCGGACAGACATCTTGGCCATCGTATTCACAGCGTGTCTGAATCGTAGTTACAGCAATAGCGTGCGTCGCTATTAGACATTCTCTCTCTCACCAGGGTCACTGGCCTGATGGTGATGCCTTGCACAGTGCTGATGACCTGGAACATGACAATCGGACGATCTTCGATACTCTGTCAATGCTGAGATCCATTGTAGTACATGTTTTCTCTCGAGCGATCGACCGAACGTTCCCTCGTTGCTTCAGATCTGTGCGTTTCGTTCAGAGATGTATGCGATCACGATCACGTGGCTTACTAGCTGAATGACCTCATCGTCATGTCTTCCTGCATCAGCGTTCTCGGATCCGCTCGAGCGGACCCGTCAGTGTGCATCACAAGCATAAGAAGTAGAAGGCCGTGAAGGCAAACTGGTCAGAGACTGTGCCAACAAACACATCGAAATCGGACTCCTTATCGGAAACCGGAAACATGTTTTCGGCGGAAGGGAGAGCCTTGAACTAATGGATCACAGAGTAAGCGACTGCGAGATGAAGAGGATTACAGGCAGCGCTGTTGGTAAGGCCTGACTTGATAATAATATGACGGAGAAGTGGAACCAGTAATTTATAAACAGACGTAGATCGGTCTAAGACAAGGATCGGGACAATGCGGAACATAGAAGGCAAGCTATCTGGTCAGCGATTGTGAAAGCAGCTTGCGTGGAGAAGCTAAAGCATACAGGGGCAGCGACTTTTTCAGGTGAAGGCTTCAACTGCGTGACAAATTGCGATCACGAGCGCGATGCATTATGAAGCCTTGATCACGCATCACACACGCAATTGGTAATCCCGGAATGTGATACTTACTCCCGGGGATCCTTCGGCCTTGCTGTCGGCTTTCAAGTAGAAGGCCCAGCAAGGTTGCATATGTCATGGCTTTATTCTGAGAGTATGTAGTTATCTTCGAATTTATGTCCCTTCATCCTACGTCCGTTAACCTTCAAGCTTTAAACTCCAGGAAATTCAATGCTTCATAAAGACAGGGAGCAACTTTCTTGCGGACGAATCAGGTGACGTCAAGATTACAGGTCACTGGATGGCGTCACGGAGTTCTTTCCCAGACCATCACGCTACGCGGTAGCTTGCGCCACCATGGTGACGGGGTCGAGCCTTCTCTCGCTCCCGAAGGAGATGATTTTCCGACTGTGGGGCAGTTCCGGTGATCCCTGGCCCCTGGTTTCATTCTGCATACATATATTCCCGACCCTTCAGTGCTTGAGCACTCACCGTGCTGCCATTGGACCATCGCGCCCTAGTGTGTCTGGGCGGCGCAGGATCGACTCTTTCACGCGTTGCTAACAAAGAGCCAATCGCCACCAGAGTTATCTTGGTTGTGATGGGATGTCCGACAGACAGTTCATCATCACAAACATCCTTTTCCTTTGGGTGGGCCACACTGCCGGCCGCCAAGGCGATGGGAAGTCTATAAAGCAACCAAGGGGCGAACTGGACCCCGTTGTCTCGACCGGTTCTTGGGTTTTCTCTTTTACATTCTTTTTCTCTCCAGGTTCAGTAGCGCGCTATGGTCGCCTCTGCTTTCATTTACGGGCTCTCTCTCCCTCTCTATCTGTCGCTGGTCGCCGGTTTCCCCCTGTTTTCCAAGCCATCGCCTCGTGCCGCCGTAGAAGTCCGTGCGCGTAGCGAGGGTGTGCCGGTCGGATTTGCGAGTCTGGGTGCTGCTCCCTCGTCGCAGTCAATCAAGCTGCGCATTGCGCTCGTATCGTCGAACACGTCGGGCTTGGAGCAGGCGCTGCTCGATGTGTCCGATCCGTCGAGCCCGAACTACGGCCAGCATCTGACCAAAGATCAGGTGCGTGTGTCGCGTAGCTCTCTCTGCTCCCGAGTGTTTTCTGATGGATCGATCGCACGCAGGTGAACGCCTTCCTGGCCCCGACAAGCGAGGCCTTGACGACCGTGAAATCGTGGCTGACGAAGAACAACGTGCAAGGCTTCGTCTCGGAGGGCGCCGGCGACTGGATCGCGATGACGGTCCCGATTTCGCAGGCGAACACGCTGCTCTCGGCGGACTACCAGACGTTCCTGCACACGGACTCGAACGCGACGTACGCGCGCACGCTCGCGTACACACTCCCCGCACACGTCGCGCCCTTCATCGCGCACGTGCACCCGACGTACTCGTTCAATAACCCGGCCAACGCCGGCCCGATCTTGTCCGTGCCAGGCCCAACCAACGGCACACTCGCCAGCCGCGCGATCCTGGGAGCCAAGCCGAGCTTCTCGAGTCGCCGCGCAGCGGTCAACCCGCGTTGCGCGAATGGCATCAGCCCCGCGTGTATCTCTCAGCTGTACGGTGTGCCGCAGACGCCGGCTACCCAAAAGTCGAACTCGATTGCAGTGTCCGGTTCGTGTGTTCTCCTGATGTGGGATGTTTGGTATGCTTATCAAGTGCAGGATTCATTGGCCAGTTCGCGCAGACTTCGGATCTCACCAGCTTCTTGCAGCAGGCCCGGCCTGACGTGTCGGCCAAGACAACATTCGCGCTGCAGACGTTGGACGGCGGCCAGAACTTGCAGGGTGCTCAGAATGCGGGTGTGGAAGCTGTGCGTTGCAGAGGCATTTCAGACAATGCAACTATGGCTGACATGTCACGGCGAACAGAACTTGGATATTCAATACACTGTTGGTGTGGCGACAGGTGTCCCGGTCACATTTGTCTCTGTCGGCCAGAACAACCAGGACGGCGTGCTTGGTGGATTCCTCGACATCGTCAACTTCTTGAACGCAGAGACCAAGGTTCCCCAAGTGCTGACCACGTCGTACGGTGACAACGAAGCCGACATCCCCGCGGCCCTGGCCACGTGAGCCGCACCCTTGTGTATTCTTTGTGACAGTGCGACTGATGCATGGGACCAGCAAACTATGCAGCGCATACACGGCTCTCGGTGCTCGCGGCACGTCGATCCTGTTCGCCAGTGGTGACGGTGGCGTCTCGGGCAGCCGCGTGACCAACACCTGCACGACATTCCAGCCGACGTTCCCTGCCGGATGCCCCTTGTACGATCTCATTCTGGGTGTCCACTCCTTGCCGCTGCTGACACAGATGCAGTATCACGGCCGTCGGGTCCGTCGGTGGCATCGCGCCCGAAACGGCGTCGACCTTCTCCAGCGGCGGATTCTCGAACGTATTCGCTGCGCCGGCGTACCAGAAGGCCGCCGTGTCCAAGTACCTGGGCCAGCTTGGGAAGAAGAACGCCGGGCTCTTCAAGGCGACCGGACGTGCCTACCCGGACATCTCCGCCCAGGGCGAGCGGGTTGCCATCGTTTCGAGTGGCCAGGTCCAGCCCGTCGACGGGACCTCGTGCTCGTCGCCCATCTTCGCCAGCGTCGTCGGCCTTATCAACGACCAGCTCGCCGCCGCAGGCAAGCCCCCGATGGGATTCCTCAACCCGTTCCTGTACAAAAACGCGGCCGCGCTGAACGACATCACCACCGGAAACAACGTCGGGTGCAACTCGAATGGGTTCCGTGAGTTTTCTCTCCGTCGTCGTTTGACAGGGGTATCCGTGGATTCTGATGATCTACTTTTAGCTGCCTTGGCTGGATGGGACCCCGTCACGGGTCTCGGGACACCCAACTTTGCGGCGCTCAAGGCTGCTGCAGGCGTGTAATCGACGGAAATATCATCTACCGTACTTGATACCACCAGCGCACTGAAAGACACCCTTTAATACCTAATACGGCTACCGAATCGTATCACCGTCGATGACGCTGCCCGGGGAGCGAGCGCTGAAAGCAGCGATGAGTCACAGCCGCCGTGGCAGATGCAATACCGACGCTGTTCTGCTGTGATTTGACATCAGAACGCAAAACCACCGCCACTGAGCCTTGCGAAATTCGAGTCTTGAAGAGGAGTCCCAGAGGCCACGGACAAGTAAGCCTGCTGTAGACGGACGTTAGATTCCATCACTGAGGACCACCTATGGCGAAGACCAGCGTGATATGCATAATCGATGTTGTTCATTTCGAGTGAGTGAGCTACGAAGTGATTATTGGCAAGGACCGTGGGAAGTGTACTTGACATTGACAGGTACTGTATAACATCGGGTATCGGGCCACCTTAAGGTATCAGGTCTGTAGCTTACTAATCCAGCCTTCTGAGGGCGGTATAAGGGCCTCGATTCATGGGCAAGGATCCTATCTAAGAGATTCAGGCCCCAAAATATTTTACTCGGCGGTCTGTTCAGCTCCATGAATATTTTTCGCGCGAAGGTCCAAATCGGGAAAGTACGGTGATCCGGGCCATTTGCTGATCCCAGGCTTTCTGAGGTACGGAATCGATTGCTATGGACGCCATGAGAAGTAATTACACTGTTTGAGCCTCTAACTACTTGTTTGTTGCCCTGAGACCCTTCTCAATGACTGATTTTTGCTTGGACAACTGCAGCGGGTCAGTTTGAGAGCAATATTAGAGGTATTTTTCGAGCGCCTGGCAATCGTCGATGATCTCGAGCTGCTCCCAGGTGATCTCATCATTGCCCCAGATAAACATGAACTCGACATTGCCATTCCGCCACCAGTGACCATCCACTTGGTCAATGACTCGGACAGTTTTGGGTTCTCCTTCAAGAATTCCCATCTTGCGTTCCTCAGCAGCGACATCTGCGGCATCGGTGAAATGCTGAGGGCGCGCTCACAAGTGAATCTACTATGAAAGTAAACCCAAATATAAACACGTTCACACTCCTCGTAATCAGCTTCTCAGTGTGTGAAAGATGCGAGGGTGTCAGGGGACGCCGCGCTCCTTGGGCATGTGACCATGCACGTGACCCACTGCGCCCTCTCTGCCGACCCATGCCTGCTCACCTGTTGATCACCCAGCCTCCTCCTCCTCCTCCTCCGATCCTCATCTCCATCCATGCCGACATCCGCCCTCTCCCTCCTTCCCCCGGCCATCTCCCTTGAATCCCCGCAAGCGGTCTAGCCAAGCCCGATTCCTTGCACCAGGGAGTGCTACTGCCGTACGCACTCCTCCCCCTTCACTTTGGCCTTCTCCCCGCGGATGTGGTCTACTGCCGTACAGGCTCGTACCAGATGCCTTTGCGCTCATCCGCTGATAGGCTGGCTACCAGACGCGCTCTGCACCAGCTCTGTAAGGGCGTATTTTTGCGCCTTTTACAGAGTTTACTCTTGAACCACTCGGTGTATCGTGTCGCGGTTGACAGTGTTGCGCTCAGTAGGGCTTAAGGGTCTACTGCCCAGTCGACGACTGTGGATAGTGGCGACGATAGCAAGGCAGTCAGACCACTACTGTGGAATTGGTCTTATGAGTCTACACCAGGCTCAGGGCCATTAGTGACGAACGCTTGGACCGCGACCATTCCCCAAAAAGGGATCTGTCGTTGCGTCGACTTCTCAAAAAGGGTCATTCTCTGCAGATGGGAACTTGCGCTGAAGGGCTGAGCAATGCGCGACGCTCTCAATAATAGAACTACTACTGGACAGGACTTGGCGTTACGAGACTTAAACCATCTTGTCGCGGCAACTCCCGGTTTTGGGTTGGACGTTTCCTCAGATCATGCCACGACGACAACTTGTCACATGTCAGGATCCATTCGATCACGGGACATTGTGGACGCGTCGCGGTGACACTTCCAAGTGTCACGGCGAGTCGCGCCCATACCCAAACGCACTAGAAATTGGCACGGCTAGATCCGTGAACCGAGCCATGTGGGAGACGACTGGCATGCCTAGAGCCATACGGCTTCTTGGGGCGCCCACGTTGGTCTCACATGCCAAGACATACCCGTTGGCCAATCCAGCACGTCGTATTCCAAAAGTATGACGCGGTGGGTTGACCCACATCAAAAGTATCATATGGACAATGGGGCGGGGTCCTGATCACTCAGGACCTGTCCGATCGTTCAACTTTTCAATTACCCTAAAAGGCAACCGATCTTAGATAGCGTAGCTACTATGCAGTTGTACAGGACTTTACTAAGCATCGTCGTAGACAGTATAAGTAGCACGTCGTTTCTTTGTATTAAAAAGCTTTCCCCCGGACTGTGAATCACTCTCATTTCAGATTGTTTTGTACAATTTGCGTGCCGCGTGATTCCACCCTAAGAAGTTCTGCCACCCCTGCCCGGTCGTGACGAGTTGCTCCCTGAGCACTTGTAGCTACTGTGATTTGAGTTTGAGTTGAGATATCAGAAAGTCGGATTCGCGGCATTTAGTGTTGTCGCCTTTGGGTTTTGTTGAGATTGTTCCACACCTCTAGCTTGGCAGTGCGTCGACTAGTTGTGCTCGGGTTGTTTTGGTCAGTTGGCAGTGCGTCGACTTGAGAACTTTGGTTCCACACTCCTTGCTTGGCAGTGCGTCGACAAGTTGTGCTCGGGTTTTGGACATTGGATATTGGCTGTTAGTTGGCAGTGCGTCGACGCGGCATTTTGGTTCTACTAGTTGGCAGTGCGTCGACTCAGTACTTTTGGTTGTGTCAGTTGGCAGTGCGTTGACTTGACATTTTGGTTTACTAGTTGGCAGTGCGTCGACTCAGTATATTGGTTGTATCGGTTGGCAGTGCGTCGACTTGATATTTGGGCTTTGCGTCACCATCTGGACGCTGTCGCTACAAGGGATCTTAATACGAAGTATTAAGTTCTGACTTGTTATATTGTTGATTGTGGATTGGATTAGTGTTGGTTGTGTTCGTATAGAAGATATTGGTTGAGATACCACTGTTGTCTATATATATATTCTTGTCGTTGACTCCGTCTCCGCGACTATTGGATCTGTGTCTATTGAGAGTTGTGATACTGGTGTTCTGTCCACCCCGAAGCCCTCGCATCTTTCACACACTGAGAAGCTGATTACGAGGAGTGTGAACGTGTTTATATTTGGGTTTACTTCATAGTAGATTCACCTGTGAGCGCGCCCTCAGCATTTCATCTGGAGCCCACCGCGAGGGGCTTCTAAAGTTTCATAAACTTTAAAAATCAATAAACCGGATTCTTTACCGCGACGTCGGATAGAGACCAAGGGTTTATCCCGCGAAGCAGTTTATTTCGATCCCAAGCTCCTGCGCGACCTCTCGAGGACCAAGCGGAGATTGAGACTGAAGGAAACGCTTCAACTTCAGGACCTTTCGAAAAACCACGAAGGTCTGCAAGACATAAAACACCTTTGTATCTACCACCCTTGCCTTCCAAGGCAAAAGGAAAACAAAGAGTGAATTCGACGTCGAAGCTTCCAGCTTTAGACACAGCTACTTCGAGTTCGACGACAATCAGTTGATCTCAGACTAGCTCACAAGCCCTCTCAGAATTGTCTAGTAGCGTCACCGCTACAAACACGAATTCTAACAACATCCCTACTTCCCCTGTGACTTCAGTCGCGACAACTATGGCTCCAAAGACTGGGTTCAAAATCCCCCAACCTTGGGACACAAGTAGACCTATACTTGATGAAAAGGATCCCCTGTCAATTGAGGCATATTTGCGTCACTGCGCGCAGATCGTGGAGGATGGAGGCATCACAGATGTCAAACAAGCAAAAAGCATGTACATTGGTTACTTGCCGTCGCGGCAAGTGATGGACGTATGGGAAGGTCTCGATACCTATTCCGACGACACGAAAACTGTCGCGGAGTTCGAGGCCGAAATATTAAAAGGGTACCCTGAGGTGTCCAAGCGAAAAACGGGGACCATGGCAGATCTAGACAGACTCTGTCGTGAGAACCGTGTAATCAAAATAACGGATGAGGGAGATTTGAAGCGTTTCGGCCTTCAAATGTATAGTCACTACAAGCGACTGTCAGTCCCTCCTGCCATTATCACCAACAAAGTCGCGTGTGAACGCTACATGTGTACTTTGGACTCCGAATTCAGTACCGTCTTGAGGAATGCTTTGGCTACGAGTCAAGTATTCAATAAGCGCTACCAAACTCGCGCCGGGATAGCAAACGCTAATGTCCCCGCGACAGGAGTCAATCGGCAGGACGACCCCATCCAGCTGAAAGAATTAATGACGATGGCGGAAGAAATGGCGTCGACGTTGAGCAACGAAGATGAAATTCCCATAATCGCGCGACCTCCCAAGGTTCGTTTCGACTATGAGACCAGTCCACCCAACCATGCTAAGGTTGAGGAGTTGGAAAATTCGATTTCCAACTTGAAGGACTCATTTCTTCTACACCAAAAAGAGCTACAGACTCAGTTGCAGGAAGCGCTGAAGATGTTCGTACAGACTGCTCGCGAAGCGCCTATACAGCGGTCGCGGCCAGTAGGCAACAACTCTTCTGTGCCCCACTTTGAAAGTCGCGCACAAGGAGGAGCTGCCGCACGGAACGACGACTGTCGCTACTGTGGACAAACTGGTCATTGGTCGAACGAGTGCCCACTCAAGAGGTCTCACATTGAGAAAAACCTTCTCAAAGTCGACACCAAAGGGATGTAGAGGCTCTTCGACGACAGTTTCCTACCAAATGGAGAGGGACTCAGGGACAACGAGTAGAGGCTTATTGGAAGAAGAAGGGCAAGTCCGTCAACTTCCAAGACTCCTACTACTTGGATCAGTTCGATAGCCGCGACAATGATGATATGTCCGACTACCCTGAAGAAGTGGCAGATGAAATACGCTCCCTTCGAAGTCAACTCATCCAATATGAGAGGAAGTCGTCGCGGCCAACCCCAGAGAGTCGCGCTGAGCCAAAGACTCAAAGAACTGCATCTGGTTCAACCAGTAATGCAATGGAAAGCGCCATGGGCCAGTTCATGCAGAAAGCCATGACCGACGCCATGGCCGGCTACTTCAACAACATGAACAGTGGTTATCCTCAGACTCAGGAGCAGTTCATTCAAACCCGTCGTGGTGCGAATAGCCAACCTGAGCGCGACGATAACAACTCGGGTTTCTAAATGGTTCAAGGAAGGGGGCTAAACCTACAAACTCAGCCAAGCCCTCTGAGGACCATGATAAACGAGCTGAGCGACGAGAGAAACCGAGAAAACCTGTGATTATTGAAGAAGTTAGTGATAGCGACGATGATGAGGAATCAGTGCGCGACAACGTCGAAAAGAGAAAGGAACTACCGTTTGAGAAAGTCAAGCCCGTTC